ATGGGGCAGTGGCTACTGTATTGGACAGCACAGCTTTAAAGATAAAACAGCTTATGACCTTAAGACATAATTAAATGTCAAATGCAATGTTTTAAGGAAATATTTTCTAGAAGATATATAAACTAAGTAACAACAAATCATCATTTACTGGCCTTCTCTACCGTGCTACCCAAGGTAGAGGCCAGGTACAGGTCTGCCTAGGTGGCTCCCTGGGCTGTGACTACAGCTATTGTTTGGTCTGTAATAAGATGAAAGGGAACGCAGGGTCCAGCAGGCTTTCTAACCAGACAATCGCCCTTGCAATGGCAGTAAGAGGGAAACTCTAGAATTGGTTTCTAGGCACAATATCTTGGTTTTCTAAAACCCTCAGAAGCTCTGCTGGTTATTGTTCTAACTAGGCCTAGAGACGGAGGATTCTGTCAGTGCTGGCCAATCTAGAACCAAACCACCTTGCTCAATTCCAGCCCAATGGGCCTCTGAAAGATGTTCTAAGGCCAACTTCAAACTCGTTTCTCAGGAGTGCTTAATACCACTCAGAACCCATGCTGGAATAAAAACCAGCTCCAGCAATCATTCCCACAGCTACCCTGGGTTCCTCAAGCACTCCCAGAATGTGACGCCGCAGATGCAAACCAAGCTGACTCCAAATTTCAGAGGACCCACTGAGCCTTCAAATCCAGGCCAAAACAAGATGAGGACTCCTGGGGTAAAGCTGTGAAAAGACATTTTCTGACTTGCACCTCCCTCATGCACACTGATGCAAGCAGGAATAGTAGCAGAGGCAACTTATTGGCTCGGCTAAGAAAGTGGAAAACTAGTTTAAAAAGAAATCACATAACCACTAATGTGTCCAAAATATCTGTAAATCAATACGTGTAAAATGGACTGTGAAAGTCATTCTCTTTCTGCCTTAAGAAATCTGAGCTTCCACAGGGACGACAGATAATATTACCCCGCCAGATAGGATATTCTATTACAACAATCGCAATGTGAAATTCAAATCTTTGGAAGTATCAATTAATGCTTTTAAGACTTTTAATGCTAGAGAAATAGAAGTTTCACCAGGTCTTTCTTATTTGATCAATTACATTTACTTTAAATCTATCATTTAACCACTTTCTGCTGTGGAACTATAGGTCTTATATTTATTGCACCCACATCTTAGAATCGATAGTAAGTAAAAGTATTCCCAATCAATGGATGAAAAAACTAAAGTGTGAAAGAATTTGCCCTAGTATACAATAAGAATACAGAGCAATATATCCTGGCTTGTCTAGTGCTTCTGTGGTCAGCGGGGCAACTGCCCCACGTGCCTTCATGAAACACTTGTATTACAGGCTGGTCATGCCAACTTAGCCATGGCCACCTCTTTCCGCTCTAACACTTTTGTACAATAAGGCTAAACTTTAGTGCCCACTTTTTTTTAATGTGGTCTAGGGAGAAATGTGACTGATAAGCACTGAACTCCTTCCATAAGCACACGTACCGATAAGAATATGCGAATGTGCTTTGTACTCAAAGACAAATGTGATGTAGTTTGTGAGTGGCACAGCACATTTTGTCTCCTGATAATCAGTTTTACACCACCGAGGAAATGTTGTACACACTTGTGAAATTTAATAATTTTTCTGCCTCTCCTACTTAAGCAATTCAAAGAGAGAAAAGAACACCAGGGGAAACTTCGCCAAAGACCTAAGAGAAGGGCATCGACAATGAGACTCGAAACTCCTTTAACATCAAGCAACATGCCACCTGGTGCCTATAATAGTGCCACGCCACTATCCTTACCATGGACCACAGTAGAGGAAGTACGACTTAGTGTGGAGGGCAAACGATGCCAGCTTCAAAAGCTGTGAATTTCACAAAGGAGCTACAACAGACCTACCTGCTCCCAACAGAATCACAAAAGCCAACTGTATGTCCCAGTGATTACCTCGGGACTGAGAAAAAGAGCTAGGACTGGGGCTTTTTCCTTACAATTTCCATGTTTCTGTACTAGTGGAATTTCTAACCATGGACATGTATTTTATCTTTTAATTTTTTTAAAAAATGCCATTTTAAAGCCAACGACATGTATCCTCTTCATCTACAAAAAATTTTAAAAAGATGACTGTGGATTGAGGAAACCTAGTGGATGTTAATAAGATCGGACTCCACACCTAAGAAACAACTGCAATGCTCATCTTTATTTAAATATCCAATAAAGGGAAAGATAACTTTTTCAAAAGCAAATTATATTTCTATAGGGACCAAGAAAAGCATGACTTCCTTAACACTTAACTTCTCAACCCTCTTCTGTGCACTAGGTGGAGGAACACGTTCCACAAAACGGAATCCCACAACATTGTTATACACAGCTACTTAGATCCACAATCACCTTTACGTTTCTTAAGCGCATATATCTCATATGTTTGCATCCTGTCTGTTACACGAGACAATAATGTCAATCCTAGACTATATTTAAAGTGCTGTATACAGATTACATGCTGCCAACATATTCTAAACAACATGAACAAGTACACCAAGGAGACCGCAAATTAACCAGATGACTCTAATAATTTGAAGGGCCAAGACAAGGCCATTTTCTCCCTACAGGGTGTTATTTTCTACCCTGCAGATCAAACAGCACGCTCCACAGAAC